GGGGGGGGGGACGGGAACAGGAAATCTCAAGCCGGTCCCGTCTTGTCCCCCGTACGGGCAGGGGCTGGCCTGCGGGCTGAGCCCTCACTCCTGTGTATGAGGTCCCTCCAAACAGTAGGTAAACGAATACCCTTTAGAACGGTATGGTCCAAGAGAGCGTCCTGCCGTAGGGAGAATGTTCTAGATCTGCAACGGACCACGACCGCCTGTGCCTGTGAGCACTCGTAGTGCAGCCAGGGCGACCGAGGAACAGGATTGGGTCACCCCATGCAGCTAAGCGGTCACCCCCGCGGGCAGGGCAGCCCAAGAGCAGCGTCCCCAGAGCGTGGCGGTTTTAGGAGGGGCACTGAAAAGCTCCCTCCGAGTGGGTCAGGTGTAGGCACGCGATTTACACGTGACCCCAGGCTTCAAGGACAGACCCGCCTTGGGCGGGGTTCCGGCAGGCGTTGGAGCGAAAAGGAAGGCGAGTCAGTTCTGAAGACTGAGCCTGTTCAGAGTGCAGGTGGAAAGGGGACACCGCAGGGGCCGGGGACTGGGCAGTGATGGACGGGCACCCGGGGGACTCGGCTCCCCCCGTCCCCCTCCCCGGTGGGTCCCAGCAGGCGGAGTGGGGAAGGAGGTGTGCTGGTGTCGGGCACTGTGCGGGGCTGGGTCCCAGGACACGCGACCCGTGGGGCCAGGGTTCAACTCCGCTTCGTCCTTGAGATCCCATGTCAGGGGTCACTTCTGCGGGGAAGCCCTCCTCCATCTCCTGATGGTCAATACCCCCTCTTCCCGGGGCCCTCGGAGCCCCAGTGACTGCAGCCCTCACCACAGTTGGGCTGTTAGCCTGCTTGGGGGATTGTCTGCAGACTAGAGGAGGATCCAGGCGGCGAGCCCCATAGGAGCAAGGACACTGAATCCTCTGTTCACTGTGGCAGCACAGTGCAGACCCCAGGACAGCATATAGGCGCTCAGTACGTGAGCTGAAGGAAAGACCCACAGCCGTGTCCCCCGCCCGAGCTCACCGAGTGCTCGGCGTGGGCCCGTGGAGTTAGAGCAGACGCGGGCCGGGGGGTGGCCTGGCGTGGGGACGACGGCTACACGGCCTGGGATACTTACACCGGGTAATGCTGTGTAACAAACATCCCCGAATGTGCAGTGGTACCCAGACGGCAGAGGTTTCCTTCTGGCCGTCCTTCCGTGTTCATCGCGGGCTGACCGTGATGTCGAGACCCCGGTGGTCTGCCTTTCAGAGGAACTGGGGGGTCTCAGGCGACACGGCCTCCATCTCGAGCCTTCCGCCAGAAGGCAAGGTTGGCCGCAGAGGCCCTCACGCTGGCGTGACATCCCGGGCCCGGAGGTGACACGTGTCACGGGCACCTGTGTGCGCCCCTCCCCCACAGGGGGCTGGGAAGCGTGGCTGCCCGCACACGGGGGGACGGCAGAGGGCTGCAGATCGCTCACGGCCGGGCTGGTGTTTGAGCCTCGCTGGCCACGCTGGGAAGTAAACGACGGAGGAGAGAGGGCTGAGTGCTGGCGTGCGGACATGTGCAGACCCCGGCTCCAGCCCCCCCCCCCCGCAGCCGGGGTCCCAACGTCTCTGACCTAAGGAATGGGGTGAAGTGTGGCTTGAGGTTGTGGCCGAGCCCCGAGGGGACCGCCGTGAGCTACCTTAGAAGGTCCTAGGGGGAGCGGCTCCTGGCCCTTTAGGAGTCAGGTTGCAGCCACTTCCTGAGGATGTTCCCACCTGCGTGTCCCTCCCAGCAGATGTATCACAGCCCCCGGGAGCAGGGGGCGGGTGCTGCCCTCAGCCTCGGGCTGCGCTAGGCAGGGTCAGGAGCGAGGACCACCCGGTTTCAGCGTCTCACGAGCTCCCAGCTACGGCGTCACCAGAGGGCGGCCTTCGGGGCCCTGAGCTCAGACCCCTCCCGTGTGGTGTGAGCTGGGGGTTGCAGAAAGAGACCCTTCCCACATCCCTACGTGTGGGTGTCTGGGAACCGGGGGGGCGGGGGGGCAGGCCAGCGGGTGGGAAGCTGTGGGCCGTGCCAGGGACCCCACAGGGCAGGCTTCTGGACCGACCCAGGGCTGGGGCGGCCCCCTTGTGCCCAGTGGGGGGCTGAGGCCACAGTCCCAAAGGGCTGCATAACCCCGTGTCCGTGGCTCTCCCCGCAGCCCCCGGCCCTGCCCCCGAGTTCCCCAGCGCTCGAGATGAGGCCCCGGATGCTGCCTGTGTCCTTCGGGGAGAGCATTGAGGTGCACCCGGAGCCCACGCACGAGATCCGGTGAGTGGGGTTGCTGGGCGGGGTGGGGGCACGGCAGGTGCTGTCTAGGGTGCGGGGACCGGCCTGTGGGCCCAGCAGGCTCCCCCCAACTCTGAGCGCTGCTCCCTGAGGAGGCAAGACCATGTACGTGGCCACAGATGAACTGATTCTAAGAGACTGTGACCCGAGGGTCCCTTCTCTGTCCCCTGTGCTCCAGGTCTGCATCCGGCCACATCCCCACCACCCTTCTCCCCAAGTCTGGCTGATTTTATTTCAATCCAACCTTCCAGAATGTTTGCACCGTGGCCAACACTCACACGCCCAACGTGCCTCCCTCCCTCCCTCCTCCCGTCCTGCCAGATTTCTCTGGTATCTGCGACTGAACCACGCAGGCAACGTGGGACCCCCTTTTCAGCACAGGCTGCCCCAGGGGTCACGTGAATGCGGGCTTCCTCTGTGTTCCTGGGACTGTAGCTCTCCTTTGTCTACTCAGGAGTCCTTGCACTGCACGTGGCTTAGGGGTGTCCCACATGCAGGCCATCTGGGTTAGGTGACCCCACCGGGAGCTTTCCTCCACGGATTTGCCCTCCTAAGAGGGCTTCTGAGGCTCAGCGTTCCAGAAGGTGGAGTCCAGGGGCCATGGGTCTCGCCCGCATAGCCACAGGACTCTCAGACGGATTTGTCCACATCACCCTGGCCCAGCCAGGGAGACCCTGCCTCCTGCCCCTCCAGCTCTGGATGTGGTCGCAGGAGACAGATGGCTCTACTCTGCAGTTTGTTCTCCCCTCGTTATTTAAATGCCAACTGAGATTTTCAGCCGCCCCCTCGAGGGTGGATGAGGGCTGCCTTGTTCCCTTCTGGAACTGATCATCTGTGAGGGTGCAGTGGGGGACGGGGGGCTTATCATCTGTGGGGGTGCAGTGGGGGATGGGGA